GCTGTTCATGATGGTGATGAAGTTGATGCTGATGCTGCTGCTGATGATGATGACGATGGTGGTGGTGGTGATGATGGTGGTTGTGGCGGTGATGATTTTGAGGAGAAGGAGGGATGAGGAGGAGAGGGAGGCGTGGAAGGAGGGGACTAAGGAAGGCGTGGGTGGCATATGGACGGAGGAGGTGGAGGAGGTATGATATCAGCATGTTCATGAATGTGTGTGATGATGAGAATGTTGTTGTTGGCAACGGGGATGGTGATGATGCTGATGGTAATGGTGATAACGATAAGTTTCTGGTAATGTGATGGTGATCGTATTGACGATAATGGATATTGGTGATGGTAATGGTGATGGTGTTTCTGTCGTTGTTGTTGTTGTTGTTGTTGTTGTGGTTGTTGTTGTTGTTGTCGTTGTTGAATTCCCATTGCCTGCACATAGAATATTGTAGACCTCCCCCGCCCCGTAACCAGTGTATTTCCCGACCATCCTGTGGTGTTGGGTCCTCGTTTTGAAAAGACAGCGCCGCGCGTCCCTCCTCTCCTCCTCCCCCTCCTCCCTCCTCCCATCATCATCATCATCATCATCATCATCATCATCATCATCATCATCATCATCATCATCATTATCAGTATAGCCGTCATGGTCATCGTGATCGTCGTCGTCATCATCATCATGGCCGTCGTCGTCATCATCACCATCATCAGCATCATCATCATCACCATCACCATCATCGTCAGTGTCAGTGTCAGTGTCAGTGTCATTGTCATCATCATCATCATCATCATCGTCCTCCTCCTCCTCATCATCATCATAACCACCATAACCACCATCATCATCATCATCATCACCACCATCACCATCATCATCATCATCATCATCATCATTATCATTATCATTATCATTATCATTATCGTTACCATTATCATTATCATTATCATTATCATTATCATTATCATTATCATTATCATTATCATTATCATTATCATTATCATTATCATTATCATTATCATTATCATTATCATTATCATTATCATTATCATTATCATTATCATTATCATTGTCATTATCATTGTCATTCTCATTATCATTATCATTATCATTATCATTATCATTATCATTATCATTATCATTATCATTATCTTTATCATTATCATTATCATTATCATTTCATCATTATCTTATCATTATCATTATCATGTCATTATCATATCATTATCATTATCATTATTTCATTATCATTATCATTATCATTATCATTATCTTATTTTCATTATCATATCATTATCATTATCATTCATCATATCATTATTTTATCATTATCATTATTTATCATCATTTCATTATCATTATCATTTCATTATCATTTCATATCATTATCATTATTCATTATCATTTATCATTATCATCATCATCATCATCATCATCATCATCACCATGGCCGTTATCATCAACATCATCGTCATCATCACCATCATCGTCATCGTCTTCTTCACACCCCTCACACGTTTCGTGGCCCCATAGTGAGCTCCACCGAAGGCCCCAGTGGCTGCGTTCGCATGGCGGCGCCGCCCCATTTTGGCACACCCCTCACACGTTTCGTGGCCCCATAGGGAGTTCCACCTAAGGTCACACTGGCACAGTCCGCCTGGCGGCGCCGCCCCATTTTGGCACACCCCTCAAACGTTTCGTGGCCCCAAAGGGAGCTCCACCTCAGGTCCCAGTTGCGCAGTCCGCATGGCGGCGCCGCCGCATTTTGGCACACCCCTCAAACGTTTCGTGGCACCCTAGAGAGCTCCACCTAAGGTCCCAGTGGCGCAGTCCGCATGTTGGCGCCGCCCCAAATTGGCACACCCCTCGCACGTTTCGTGGCTCCATAGGGGGATCCACCTACGGTCCCAGTGGCGCAGTCCGCATGGCGGCGCCGCCGCATTTTGGCACCCCCCTCACACTTTTCGTGGCCCCATAGGGAGCTCCACGTAAGGTCCCAGTGGCGCAGTCCGCATGGCGGCGCCGCCGCATTTTGGCACACCCCTCACACGTGTCGTGGCACCCTAGAGAGCTCCACGTAAGGTCCCAGTGGCGCAGTCCGCATGGCGGCGCCGCCCCATTTTGGCACACCCCTCACACGTTTCGTGGCCCCATTGGGAGCTCCACCACCCCAGGTCCCAGTGGCGCAGTCCGCATGGCGGCGCCGCCGCATTTTGGCACACCCCTCACACGTTTCGTGGCCCCAAAGGGAGCTCCACCTAAGGTCCCAGTGGCGCAGTCCGCGTTGTGCACAGGCACTTCTCTGCTGTTGTGTGCCCATGCCGCTCTGTTGTTCATCTTCTGCGTGGCGTGCCTGCTTGACACGCCGGACGTGGCCGAGCCCCGTGCGCCGTCATTTTGTCTCCACTTTCTTTTCGCCCTGTGCGCGGCCGTTCCGTGTCCATTCCCCCTCTTTCTGTTCTTGTTCTTGATACCGCTTCGTGACGCATTGTTCCGCATAGCGTGCCTGCTTGTCACGCCGAACGTGGCCGAGCTTCGCGCGCCGCCATATTGTCTCCATTTTCTTCCCGCCCTTTGCGCCGCCGTTCTGAGTCCATTTTCGTCCCTGTTTCCCCCCCATGCAGTTTTCTGACACATTGTTTTGAGCAGCGTGCCTGCTTGCCACGCCGAACGTGGCCGAGCCCCGTGCGCCGTCATTTTGTCTCCATTTTCTTCCCGCTCTGAGCGCGGCCGTTTTGTGTCAATTCCTTTCCCTGCTGTTTTTTTCCCTGTGAAGCCGGCACGAGGGTCAAGAATAACTTCGGCGTCGCAGGGATACCCCCATGTTCTTCGCCTGGTGACGGGGAGGAGGAGGAACTGGGGATAGGCATGGGTCTGGCGATGCAGAGGAGCTACTGGCCCTGCCCGCCACGGCGTCGGGGCCGCTGCTCGGCGCCCTGTCTCGCGAGGCGCGGCTCTCGCTTGGGACTTCCTCACAATTTATTCAGGAATCGCTCTCCCAGCGCTCTGGAGTCGCGCTCTCGCTGGAGACTTGCTTGCAACTTACTGAAGAATGGCCTTGCGTTGGAATTTCCTGCAATTTGCCCAAGCGCCGCGCTCCCGACACCCAGGCGCCCAGGAGTCGCGCCCGTTGTGGCCCCATGTGCATGCCCTTCGTGGCCCCGCTGTCGCCATTTGTGTCCCCCTCACTGTCCTACGTGGCCCAGTTGCTCCCCTCAGTGGCCCCATAGTTGCCTTCCGTGGCCCCGCATTATCTGCACTTCGTGGCCCCCGCTCGTTCGCGCTCTTCGTGGCCCCATACGCATTCCCTTCGTGTCCCCGCTGTCGCCCTTCGTGGCCTACTTCGTGCCCTTCGTGGCCCTGCTGTTGTTCTCTCTCGCTCTCGCTTTCGCTCGTCGTAGCCGTCGTCGTCGTCGTCGCCGTCGTCTTCGACGTCGTCGTCGTCGTCGTCGTCGTCGTCGTCGTCGTAGTCGTCGTCGTCGTCGTCGTCGTCGTCGTCGTCGTCGTCGTCGTCGTCGTGGTCGTCGTGGTCGTCGTGGTCGGTCCCCTGTCCGTCCCTCCTGGGGTCGGGTCGACGGTCCGCGGCCGCCCCGCCGATCAGCGCTGCCGCTGGCCAGGCCGACGGTCCGCGGCCGCCCCGCCGCTTGCCAGGGCCCGGCCTGCAGGGAAGAAAGGTATACCCCCCAAAAGGGGTTCGATCGAAGACGAAGAGGGCGGGTATCGAGGGTTTGGGAAATACGCGTTATTGGACACTCGAGCATATAAGGGCGAACAGTCTTATAATTGTTGAACATTATTTATTCTAAAGAATAATTATTGTTGGGCCCCCTGGTGCGCGCCCCCCCTGCGCCGCCTAGGCCGCAGCTACATTTTCATCGTTTTCGTGAGGAAGCCTCAGAAAAGAGGGTGTGTACAGGATCCGGTTGTTTTGTTGTAATCCGCTTTCCCTTGCAAAAAACAATAGAAAATGACATTTCTTGTTCTAATATAATCAAATTTCAAGAATCCCTTGCAAAAAATAAGGTAAAGTGGACATTCGCGCGCGCAAGACGAAATCCTTCCAAAACCTTAGTGTTCGCAGCGATTTTAACATAAAAACATCAAACAACCAATGGTTTTTCAACAAAAAATTGTCAAAATCTCATCCCGCGCGCTCTTGCGGATTCGTAGGAAACCCAACACTTTTTAAACATTTCTGTCAAACGGGCTTTTGCGAGCAACTTTTTCGAACTTCTGCGACAACGGTTGCGCACCTGCCAGGGCCATCATCCCTGTCAAATAATACCATGCGGGACACATTCGTTTTTTCTTCGCGCGCGCACGCCGTCGTCGTCGGCCGCGGGGCCCTGAATAGTAGCCACGGTCGTCCGCATGCCACGAAGTGAAGTGTCCGAACGTCATAGGGCGGGAAGCTGGGTGTGGGTGGTGGCGAAGAGTCGTTTGGAAATTTGGTAGAGCTTGAACCGGCCCCCCCACAAAGTGGGGGTATTGCCCGCCTCCTATGAAAACCCTGGCACTGGTGAGAACGGAGTGTCCCCACGTGCTAGTAATTGTTGTTGTTGTTGTTGTTGTTGTTGTTGTTGTTGTTGGTGTGGTTGTGGTTGTGGTTGTGGTTGTGGTTGTGGTTGTGGTAATTGTTGTTGTTGTTGTTGTTGTTGTTGTTGTTGTTGTTGTTGTTGTTGTTGTTGTTGTTGTTGTTGTTGTTGTTGTTGTTGTTGTTGTTATGGTTGTGGTTGTGGTCGTGGTTGTTGCTGTTGCTGCTGTTGTTGTTGCTGCTGTGGTTGTTGTTGCTGTTGTTGTTGTTGTTGTTGTTGTTGGAGGGGGGGAGGAGAGGGGGAGGAAGAGGAGGGAGGAGGAGGAGGAGGAGAGGGACCCCACCTGAGTGCAGCGCCGCCGCGCCGTTTTCTGTCCCCCCCGTCCCCCTTCCTTCCCCTTTCTCCCCCGCTCTTTGCCTCCGGCGGGCGCGCGAGCGCCTGAGGGGGGGGGGTCCGGTGGCTCGCGCCTCCCCGCCAAGCGTCCGCCTCCTCCGCTTTCCGGTTCTCTCCTGCTCCTTTTTCCTTCCTTCCTCCAATGTTTTTGTTGTTGTTGTTGTTGTTGTTGTTGTTGTTGTTGTTGTTGTTGTTGTTGTTGTTGTTGTTGTTGTTGTTGTTGTTGTTGTTGTTGTTGTTGTTGTTGTTGTTGTTGTTGTGTGTGTCCTATCGCTGGTACCCTGGTGGGCTGTCGCTCCCTGTCGGGGCGCCGAAGACAAACCTCGTTGATGGACACACCTGCGGAGAGAGGTTCTTTGAGTGCGCTGTGGTTCATGTCCTCAGCCACGAAGCGGGCCCGAGGTCTCTGGAGGCGGGCGCGCATGGATGGACAATCCCCACACGCCTGGCCCCAGTGGACACCCGTCCCAAATGTGGACGGGTGCTGGGGTCGCAGCGGCAGGAGGAGGAGGAGCAGGAGGAGGAGGAGGAGGAGGAGGAGGAGGAGGAGGAGGAGGAGGAGGAGGAGGAGGAGGAGAGGAGGTGCAATGGTTCCGATTCACACACATGCTAGCGTCGTAGCAAGAATCACGACGGGAGGTTTTTCGCCGTCTTCGGCCTATGGGGGCTCTTCGCCAGGCCCCGGGACCGTCAAACAATGATCTGTAATGAAATGCCTTCCCCGGGGAAAGGCTCGGGACATCCGGGGGCCTCGTAGTGAACAATCCACGATATCCCATGTCTGGGATATATCAATCGTAAGGGCACACAGTCATAATGATAGGAAACACTATTCTTAATAGTAGCAGGAGGAATCTGAGGAGGAGGAGGAGGAAGAGGAAGCATAGGATGAAGATACCTCCTCTTCTCTCCTCCCCCCTCTCCTCCTTCATCCTTCTTTTTGGTATAACGGCTCCCTGTCCTATCACCATACGTGTCATTGGGGTATGGCAGTCGTTTCGCCAGAGACATCCTTAAGATCTGTGTGTTCGGAACCATGGTGCTCCCACGTGCTGCAAGGATGAAGGGCGGTACCTTTACAAAATGGGGCTCCCGCCTGCACGCCGCGCACATTCGTCTTTAACGATCTCAGCAGTTGCGCGTGTGGAGGGCGGTCAGTTTTTCCCCAATGAGCCTTGCCTTAGGAGTTCTTACTTGGTTAGGGGCTGGTGCCTCCTATTGTCACTTTGTCCATTGCTCGGAGGTTCCTCGGGTTCCTCGGGTTCCTCGGGTTCCCCGCCCCCGGTGCCTCCTGTCGTTACGCTGCCCGCTCCTCGGAGGTTCCTCGGGTTCCCCGGGTTCCTCGGGTTCCCCGCCGTGCTCGGTTTTCCCGCCGTGCTTGGTTTCCCCAGTCTTGCTTCTTCGTTCTTCGGGTTCCCAGGCGTTGCAAAGGAATGTCAAGCAATGCCAGGCAGCGCCAAGCAATGCAAAGCGATGCCAATACACGCGAAGACATGCCACACAATGCCAGACTGTGCCAGTGAATGCCAAGCAGTGCCAAGCAATGCCAAGCAAAGCCAAACAATGCCGAGCAATCACAAGCAGCGCCAAGCAATGCTAAGCAATGCCAAGCAATGCAAAGCAGCGCAAAGCACTGCAAAGCAACGTGCCCAGGAAAGTTTGCCCTACTTGGGGTCGCGCCGGGTTCATCAAAGTGCGTTTGAAAGATAGGGGCCTTCGCCCCACAGCCGCGCACATCCGTCTGACAGATCCTGTAACAGGAACAAAGACATAGGACGGTTTCTTTTCAGAACGGGATTCTCGCTCGAACGCACTTCGAAGTTATTGACCATAATTTTCGACATATGTAACATTTGCACGGATTGAGGGCCATTCCTCTTCGACATGGGGTTCGTTCTTGTGGCTTCCTCGAATTTGACGGCCAGAGGTGTAAATCTGGGAAGCAGTTACACGGATGGGGCTTGGTTCCTTTTCAGGACGGGGCTCTCGGTGGACACCTCGATGAACTTGATGATAGCACCTGTTGAACTTGGTGATCGCACCTGTCGCGTTCCCCATATACGCGCCAGAAGGATGCAATGTAGTTGCTTTTCAATGCAGGTCTCTCGCCTGAACGGCAGGCCCGTAGCGTGACAGTCTTTCAAGGGGACGCCTCTTGTAGCAAGAGGCCCGGCTTGTAGGGACTTCTGAGGAGGGAACCTTGGGACGTGAGGATGTGCCGTAGCATCCTTGCTGTATCATGGGTTTGCTCTGGGCCTCCTCTCCCCTCCTCCCTCGTCCCCCGCCCCCCCAGCCGCGCAGGAGCTGAAGGCCATGGCAGCATCCGACCTCAAGGACCTCGTGGTCGGCAAGGGCCTCGAGGTGGGAAACAAGAGCGACAATGTGGACGCCGTTCTGGCGGCAGAGGCCAGCGTGCCACCAGAGGGGGGGAGGAGAGAGAGAGGGATGGGCAGGAGAAGGGAAGGATCGGGGGAGGAGGATAATGATGATGATGATGATGATGAAGAGGAGGAGGGAGGAATATGTGGTCAGATGAGGAAGACGATGAGGATGAGAAGAAAACAGGAAAAGGAGGAGGAAAGATGATTCTGACTATATCAGTATAGGTATATGTATACATGTATGATTGCATGCCTGCATGCGCACTTGTAATCATACAGATGCCTGCATGCATGCACGCACGTATGTATGTACGTATGTACATACGTGCGTGTATGTAACTGTGCATGGTTATATATATATATATGTATATATGTATATGTACGTATGCATGTATGTATGTATGTATGTATGCATGCATGCATGTATGTATGTATGTATGCATGTATGTATGTATGTATGTATGTAGGTAGGTAGGTAGGTAGGTAGGTATGTATGTATACACGTATTCGTACATGTATGCATACATCTTTACAATCATACATACACGCATGCATCTACTTACCTTTATGTTGACACACATACATACTTATCTAGAACCGTACACACATACACACATACATGTATACACATAGATATGTTCATACATATGTGTGTGAACGTCTATTTACATGCATACGTGACTGCATTTATGCACAACTGCATGCATGCCTACATGCATGCATGCATGCATGCATGAATGCATACTTGCATACAAGCGTACACGCATGCCTACCTACCTACACACCTGCACACCTACCCAATTAGCTACCTACCTACATAGATGCGCACGCACGTACATGCATCATGCATACATGCATGTCGGCATACATACAAACAAGGATACACACATATACATACATACATACACGCATGCACACACACACATCCGTATATGCATGCACACACGCATTAATACATGCATACCGGCATGCATGTGTACATGCATACAGACATACATGCATGCATGCACATATACTTGCACACACATACCATCATACGTGTATAGATATACACATACATGCATACAGTCATGCACGCATACACATACATACATACGTACACACGCACATGCATGCATGCATGGGAGAGAGCAGCATTCACGTGTATTAATGAGATGTTGAGTTCGAGTCGGGCGGGTGGGGTGTGCTCTGCAGCTGTCTGTGCTCAAGCACTTTTCGGGGTCAGGGCCCCAGTGGCTCGCGGCCACACCTGTCGCGTTCCTTTGGCCCCAGGGACTTGATGGCGTGCTGCTGAGGGCCTCACACACCACAGGAGATGAAGCCGAGCCTGGCCTCCAGGCGGGCGGTCGCAGAGACGGTCACCGCCAGAGGAGGAGCAGCAAGCCCAGAGGAGCGCGATGTGTCGGCCGCGATCATGGCCTGTCGCCGTGCGGTCAGAGACGCGGCGCTGCGGGCTCAGTCGCAGAGGAGGTCGAGCTAGTCGCGCGGGCTGCGGAGCTCCTCGCGAGATGGCTCACGCTGAAGGTCCCCCTCGAAGTGGGCCATTTCGGCGACATGCTGTGGGAGGCCTACCAGGGCGCCGTCATGGGCACAGGCTGCGCCGAGAAGCTGAAGAGCTTGCCAGATGACCTGGAGGCCTGGAACGACATGGCGATGAACCTGCGAGCGCAGGTGATCGGCGAGGACCCCCAAGGACGCGTGCGTGCCTACTACGATCGGCTCGTGGGTTAGGCAGGCGTCTCGGCCGCAGTGGCCGTGGCGGTGGTCCTAGGCGCCGAGACGGGACGGAGTAGATTCCTTGGCTACCTGAGGGGGGCGAGCTGCGCGACGGCCATGGCCTGGGGCAGCTGGTGCTGTGCCCGCACCCGCTGGCACATGTGGTGCCGCAGGCGGGCGTTCCGCGCTGCCGAGGACCAGGCCGTGGAGCGGGGCGACCTGTTCGGGGCCGACGGCGGGGCCAGGCCGACCAGGGCGACGGCCCTCGCCGAGAGCCCGGAGACGAAGGCCCTCGCCGAGCTGCGGGCGGAGAACGAGAGGCTGCGTGAAGGCGTGCCAGCGGTCGCGGGACAGGCCGCGCGGGCCGCCCCCGCTGGCCCCGCCTCTCCCCCCGCCGCTGCCGCCGCCCGGGGCGCCGCGGCCTGCGGCGGCGCCTGGGCCGGCGCCGGCGCCCGCGGTGACTGGGGTGGTGGAGGCGTTCCGCCACTTTGTTGAGCGTGGGGGGCCGATCGCCCGAAGGGCCGATCTCGAGGACGGCCGTGGGAGCTGCAGCTGATGCCGCAGGCGCGTGCGCTCCGTTCGCTCAGGGCCGTCAGCCCATGGTGAAGACCCAGGCCGCTCGAGTGCAGGAGGCCCTGATGTCGGCGATGGCGCAGCAGTCCACCAACCCGTACTGGGCGTGGTCTTTCTGGCAGTGGGTGGCGGAGGCTCACAAGGCTGAGCCTTTCGAGCAGGAGGTCATGCGATTGCTGATGTCTCACGGTTGCCTGGGCCCCGCCGCCAGATCGCCGCCGCGCGAGTCCCTCGAGAGCGAGCTGGAGCTGGTCGCGTTGCACGCCGAGCCCGCGTGGACATGATGTCCTTGCGCAGGCTCTTCCAGCAGTTCGAGAGCATGCCGAGGGGCAGCCGCGCGGCGGAGGTGCTCGGCATGGTGGCCACGGGGGACAGCTGGCCGAGAGTTCGGCGCGTCGACGCCGCGGGGGCCAAGGCTTCGGGCTATCGCGTCTCTGCCGGAGGTGCGGCGAGCAGGGCGAGACCATGTTACGCAGAGTCTGGGGCTGCTCCAAGAACGTGGGATCGCCTGCTTACGAGCGCTCGCAGGGCCTCCTGCCCCAGGCATTCAGCGGGCACGAGAGCGAGGGGCGCTTCTAGCCGGGGGTTGCCGCCAGCCTCGCGGACTGCAGTGGCCCCGCCGCTGGAGCAGGAGGAGTGGTGCGTCTCGGGCGTCGCGGCGAGCAGCCCGGCGGGCATCGCGTTCGGGGTCGGCGCCGATCAGGCCCCGCCGCGGCTGTTCGCCGACGCCAGCGGCGGCGCCGACTCAGCCGACACCCGCTTCATGCGTGTGGGCCTGGCGGTCGTTAACGTTGCTGCCTTCGACCCGTTCATGATTGCGGGGGCGGTGTCGGGGGCCTTCCCAGGCGCGCTGCAGAGCGTGCCTCGAGTGGAGCTTTTCGCGCTGCGGATCGCGATTCAGCTGTCCAGCGGCATTGTGTATCTTGTCACCGACAACAGTGGCGTCGCCGACGGCTGGTGCGCTCGCAGGTTTGTTTCGCCAGTCGGCGAGGACGCTGACCTGTGGCACAGGATCGGCGTCGCAGTTGCGTCCAGGCGCGTGTCCAATTTCGCTGTCCTTTTCGTCAACTCACACCTGTCGCCGCACCAAGTGGTGGCAGGCAAAGCGCCGCGGCAGCTTGTCCTAGGCAGCGCGGCCGTCGACCTTGTGGCGGGCGCTGCTGCCAGGCGTCTCAGAGTGCCCGAGAGCGAGCGGGCGCGCGTTCGCATGCTGGAGCAATATGTTTACCGTATCAGGATGCGCATGATTCGTGCCACCATTATTCTTTGGATGCCGAGAGTTTGTCGGTGGCCAGAGTGGCCCGCCGAGGAAAAGAGAGGTGGCGTGCGAGGTGCCGCCACCTCCAGCCCCGTCTGTTTGCCGCCAGTTTGCGATTAACCACTCGCTTGACGATTCGGGCAAACGGTGTAAGGTGTGCTGTAGTGAGCTTCTAAGTCCGAAAAGGATGCCCACCTTATGTTTTATTCCTGCCTTTGTTGATGGCCGTTTTGCCGCGTTGCCGTCGGGAGTTCGACTGCATTTAGGGGGGGCTGGGTACACAACAGTCACCTAATGCGTTTGCATAGTTCCATGGGCCTCTGGTTTTGCTCACAGTGCGGGTCTTATGCGGGTAGTGCCATCATATGTTTGGGACAGGTCTGTCTCAGGCGTACGAATGCGAATGCAGCTGTGTATTTGAATCGGATCGAGTCCGATTGTTGGCCGAAGGCCTTAAGCAAGGCCGAGAAGCTAGCCCGTCAGCGTTCGTAGGTTTCGTTTCGACTCGCATCACTCACTCACTCACTCACTCACTCACTCACTCACTCACTCACTCACTCACTCACTCACTCACTCCTCCTCCTCCTCCTCCTCCTCCTCCTCTTCCTCTTCTTCTTCCTCCTCCTAATCCTCCTTCTCGTCCTCTTCCTCTTTTCCTTTTCCAGGTGAGTAAAAGTGCCGTGCCGCTCCGTGCTTTCTTTTCAGGCAGCGAAAAGATGTCGTGCCGTGCCCGGTTGCCCGAGTGCGACAAAGTTGCCGTGCCGCGGCCTGCCGCTGCGGCCGCCGCCGCGGGCGGGCGACGAGGCGAAGGAGCGCGCGGACCAGCGGGCAAAGGAGGCGCGGCTCCGCCTGGTGGTCGTGAAGAAGAAGGCCCGCCCCCTCCCCGGCGGCGCGGCCTCGGGGGCGACGGCGGCGGCGGTGACCATGGGTAGGGGTCGGGAGGTATGAGAGTGTGGAACGCGAGGGGGGAGAAGGATGTGGAGGAGGGGGACCAGGAGAATGAGGGGGAAGGAGGTGAGAAGGAGGAGGAGGAGGAAGAGAAGGAAGAGGAGGAGTATAGGATGACGGTAATTATGATGATGATGATGATGATGATGATGATGATGATGATGATGATGATGATGATGATGATGATGATGATGATGATGATGATGCTGCTGATGATGATGCTGATGATAATGATGACGATGATGATGACAATGACGGTTGTGATGATGATGAGGAGGGGGACGAGGAAGAGGCGGATAAGTGGGATCATGGCGATGGTGATGATGATGATGATGATGCTGGTGGTATTTTTGACGGTAATGGTGGTGATGATGGTGATGCAAGTCACGATGATGATTTTGATGATGATTACGATGACACTGATGATGGTGATGCTGATGCTGATGATGATGCTTCTGATGATGATGATGACGATGATGATGATGATGATGATGATGATGATGATGATGATGATGATGATGATGATGATGATGATGATGCTGCAAATGATGATGTTGATGATGATGATGAGGAGGAGGAGGAGGAGGAGGAGGAGGAGGAGGAGGAGGAAGAGGAGGAGGATGATGATGATGAGGATGATGATGATGATGCTGCTGATGATGATGCTGATGATAATGATGACGATGATGATGACAATGACGGTTGTGA